TTTGTCCGAGTCGAACGCCGCTGTTGAGTACCGTACAGTACGAGTACCTACTCGGTACGGCAGGGACGAGTACCTCCTCGGTGCATGAATGGTCGGTCCCTTCTCGTTTTCAGGCATTTTCGGGGCGATCGAAGAGAGGGAGTAGTACTTGCATGATTCATTCCAGTATTGACCTCGATTGCGCCATTTATCCATCATTTGTTCTCCATCCAACGAGCCAGGGTCTCTTGCAACAGACGCATTTCCCTCTAGGACGAGGAGGAAGAAAAAAAAAAACTAAACCTGAAAACCGGAGCTTGATTTACGAGCTTCATAAAAGCTGTTCCGTTTGATCCGTCTGAGACGGAATTAGAGAAAGATGTGGGTACCCTCAGATTCCGGGAGGTTTCGGATTCGTGAAATTCGGTGAGGAAGAGACGGTCCTCGAGTTCTTCGTCCATCGTCGGATCGAGGACGGTGGTCGCCGGATGGAGGACGGCGACCGCCGGATCGAGGACGGTGACCGCAGCGATGTGTCTCCGGCTCCCGTCTCGATCCCACTTCATCAACACTTTGTGGTACCTGAATGCCTTGGATTTCTCGGTGTCTGTTTTCCTTCCGTGATTCGATAGGGAGTTGAGGGTCGTGGGCGAGACACCTTTCCGCCTCGCCTCTTCTGTCCGGACCGACAAAACAGCATCTTTCATTTTTTTGTGTAATTTCCACAACCGGCCTCGGATTTTTACGACAGGCCGAGCGCGATAACGATTGACAAGTGTTCTGGCACTCCAAGGACTCTCGATCGAATGGGGAAATACAAATACAAAACAAAATTCGACCTTGAACGACCTGCCCTCTTTGTCTTCGCTTCGCCCCATTGTCTTCCGATTCCGCGCGGATTTCTGGGCAGCAGACGACGAGATTCCGATTCCATGAAATCCGCGTCGCCAATGAAATTCAATGGAGAGACGCGGTGAGGCTGTCAATGAACCTGTTACCCCAGGGACCTGTAAATCACGAACTCCGACCCCGATTTGTCCCCCCCCCCCCCCTCCCCACCGTGCAATTTACATATTCCTAACGGTACATCCGTCATGGTTATGTATTGTTTCGGTTTCTGAATGATGGAAATAAAAAGCTACCTCAATGCAGAATGGTCTCTACTGCACGAGCCAGACGTCGTGCCGTGGCGATACATGTAGCCCCACGGCAGAAAATAATGGCATAAGGAAAGAGAAAAACATGGGTTTTGTTTTGTTATTTTTTTTTGCAGCGACAAAGGATATTCAGACGGTCGTCGCAGAACTGTAATGAGGACCGAGCAAAGAAAATAAAAATGGGAAGCGTAGATCCGGTATAGCCATTGGACAGGCCTGGAGGGAAAAGGATGGGACCTTCGCTTAACCCTCACCAGATGTCTCTCGGGAGGGAGGGGGGGGACCGTTCACATTTTCACGCGTTTTGCGGAGGGGATCTATGGATATGATCTGTCTTCATATCAATCTCAAGTATCTGTCGCTGAATGAGATGTCCAGGCCATGAAATTCTTAACAGGATGGGGTTGGAGCGAGGAAAAAAGCGATTATTTTCCATGTGCATAGCGCCGAGTCGCAGGAGCATGACAGCAGACATGCCGTGTCCGGATGTCCGGATGTCCGGGATGTGGACGGATCCAGTGAAAAGAGTTAACGCCTTTGTCCTCTCGAAAGGGAATCGACTAGGTTGACACATGGGATATCGATGCGGCGAATGGGACAAGGCGGTACCTTCACCGGCGAGTCGCGGTCATGGGCAAAGCCATCGATCAATAGATAGGACAAGGCTGATTATAACTTTTTTTAGTCTGGTCATGCACGGTACTTTTTTTTTTTCTTCAGTTGAAAATTAATCGTAGCAATTAGCATACATATTTTTTTTTTATTTTTTAATACTTTCATCGTGATGATGCATCGTGCGAATGTGCGCCGGCGGGAAGGACCGCAGATGCCGAGCAGAAAAAGTTTGCAGAATTGCCGGCTCAATAAGAAGAAATCCGATCGATTCAGCACACTGCCTTCCCAAATAGAAAACGATGAATATTGCAGCATCATGCTTCCTCAGCAAGCATTTGAATTCCGAATGACCTCAGCAGAAAGACACGGTTGTTGCATCTATGCTAAGTGATCTGCCCTGACGCATCTCGAAACATTGTGAAATCCAGAAAATTATAATATACAATTGCAATTTTATATATAATTTTGCAATCCTCCCAGCGTTGCGTTGCAGTATTACGGGGAGGATTTGCTTTCTGAGACTGCTCCGATGAGCATCAAAACATCCCTCGTTGCTATCGTTTGTCTGAACCTCGTCGAGACTCGAGATTTCGACCTTCGAGAAACGAGGTGGAACCTTTGAACTTGTGCAACGCACGCTTATCACTGCACTTGTCTCAGATGATTCATCCGAGCTTCTCCTCCCCCCCCCCCCCCCCCCCCCCC